CCTCTGGACATGTCCAAACCACTGTCCCTCCTCTGGACATGTCCAAACCATCTCAGTGTGTCCTCTCTAACTTTATCTCCCAGTTGTTCAACCTGTGCTGTACCTCTGATCTCATTCCTGATCTTCTCCATCCTTGTCTCTCCTAAGAAGAACCTCAACATCTTCATTTCTGCCACTTCCAGTTCTGTCTCCTGTCTTTTTGTCCATGTCTCTGTCTCCAGACCATACAACATAGCTGGTCTCACCACTGTCTTGTAAATTTTTCCTTTGACCTTTGCTGACACCCTTTTGTCACAAATCACTCCTGAAACTTTTCTCCATCACTCCATCCTGCCTGGACTCTCTTCTTCACCTCTTCACCACACTCCCCATGTTCCTGGACAGTGGACCCCAAGTCCATGAAGTCCTGCACCTTTGTGACCTCTGCTCCTTGTAGCCTCACTGTTCCACCTCCTCCCTCTCATCCACACACATGGACTCTGTCTTACTACGGCTGACTTTCATTCCTCTTCTTTCAAGTGCATACCTCCACCTCTCCAAGTTCTCTTCCACCTGTTCCCTGTTCTCACCACAGATCACAACGTCATCTGCAAACATCATAGTCCACGGGGATTCCTGCCTGACCTCATCTGTTAGTCGGTCCATCACCAGAGCAAACAAGAAGGGGCTCAGAGCAGATCCTTGATGCACTCCCACCTCCACCTTGAAGCTATCTGTCACTCCTACAGCACATCTCACCACTGTCCTGCTGTCCTCATTCATGTCCTGCTGTCCTCATACATGTCCTGCTGTCCTCATACATGTCCTGCTGTCCTCATACATGCCCTGTGTCCTTATTCAAAATGAAATGTTCTTATTTAGAAGTGGTCATCCTTTTCATTCACCATTTATGTTTAGGCTGATGCCTCTCACACGCAGACATAACAATTTCCAGCTCGAGATTTTATCAGTCAGTAAAACCCGGATGAACAATGTTGCGTGACTTATTGCAGGTCGGGCTCTTTTCCTGCATGCGTGCACAAGCACACAATATGCACAATTTATAGCTCATAAAAATGTGTGCACATAAATATATTAGTTGAATTTATACACATTTGCAATAATAATAAAACTCTTGGCTATTTAGGATAAGGGCACTAGTATTTAAATATAAATGAAGTTTTAGAATAATCAAAGATAATAAATAGCATTTTATATCTTAAGTGTGCATACATTTCCAACTTTAGAGAATACTTAGGAGGTTTGTAAAATATTTTTCATCAAATACAGTTTACATTTCCAAATTAATTATAAACTATTCTATGTATTTTATCCTGTGTCCTTTGATTGTTTGTTTCTGCTGTTCAGTACTTTGGTTGGCCTCGTTGCTGTTTAAAGAGCTTTATGAATAAAGTGGTATAGTAAGGCATGTGTAGTATGGTATGGCATGACATGGTATGTGTAGTATAGTATAGTATAGTATAGTATAGTATAGTATGACATGTATAGTATAGTATAGTATAGTATAGTATGACATGTATAGTATAGTATAGTATAGTATAGTATGACATGTATAGTATAGTATAGTATAGTATAGTATAGTATAGTATAGTATGACATGTATAGTATAGTATAGTATAGTATAGTATAGTATAGTATAGTATAGTATGGTATACACATTTGTGCTGTTCTTTGATTTGTTAGCATAGTCTAAAACCACTACCTTTGAATCAGAAAGGGATTCTTTTTCTAAATTTTTAAATCAACTTTACAATTATACACTTTTTCTTCATTGATAATAAAAACGGTGCATAAAACAACTTGTGAAAGTAAAAGCCAGGAGGTGAAATGAGGAGATTTAATAAAGAGGAAGAAAAAAAGGGCGAGTAAAGAAATATTCAGAGATAAGATCATTTTAACTTGAGGGGATTAAAGTAGCTGCAAAATACACACAAAAAGCCCGAGAGAGATGAGAAGCTGATGAGAACTGAGGAGAGAAGAGTGAAAGGAAGATAAATACCTAAGAAAGGGGAAGGCTTGCGGTTAATCAAGCCCGTCCGTGTTTGCTCTCTCGGTTCTGAAGCGTATGGTCATGAACATCAGCGGACGCTTGAAGCCACTTGGCTGCCGTGATGACAAACTCACAAGAGTAAAATTGATGCGTTGCTCTGAACATGTGGCCAACGATGAAATGAGGTCATGTTTACGGTGTTCAGGACATGAGTCCACATGAACCTCCCTCAGCTCTGCAGAACAGTTCAAACAACTGTTTTGAAGCTCCAGCTTCATTAGAACGGTGAACTTGGTGTTAGCTGCCTCAGTTTTAGGTGACAGACGATGACTCAGCTCAGCGGCAGCTGCTGGAAACATTTGCATTATAGCCAGCCTTCAGCCAACCAGTTACAGTTTATACACCGGCTGGCAGCTGGATACCAATAAAACCTCAAAATGTTGTTTAATGTCAGGAAATGAAGCTGTTTAGACCAAAGACTACACGGTGGTAAACTTCTGCTGTGCCACTTTGTCTACTGCTTCTTCAAAATTAAAACTGTAGTTAGTTTTCTGGAAGAGCTTTAACAATGCACAGCTGCAAAATGAGAAGAAAAAATATTTATTTGTTGTACATAATATATATATATATATATATATATATATATATATATATACACACATATACATACATACACACACACACAGAGACACACACACACCTTCACACACATATACACACGCGTGTCTTTTTTCTTGTATCTTCAAACTTTATTTGCAGGATATCTGATAAGAACACTTTGTGTCATGCACTCTTTGGTTTGACAACAGTTTGTTTCAGGTTAAATGTAAAATATAAATTCATCTACCTGGGGGAGTTGTGTTAGACCCAGAGACCACACGCGGACCTGTTCCCACGTAGATAACTGAGTGATAAATGTCACGCGAGTCCTTATTTCAGTCTCCTTTAGTTTGTATATTTTTATTCTTGTTCCTTTGTGTGTGTTTGGTTTGCCTCGTCTTGCTTTGTGTCATTTTCTTTCAGTCACTGACCACTTCCCTTTGCTGTGTGGTCGTGTTTAACGGTCTCTTTCTCTGCCTCCTTCTGTCTCTTCAGTCTAAACTACAGCGGCATGTGTCTCGCATCAGATGCCCAGTTCAGCGACTTCCTGGACGGAATGGGACCGGCCCAGTTCGTTGGGCGGCAGACGCTTGCGATGACATCCATGGGTGAGAGAAGACAGATTTAAAAACTTTTAGGAGAAGCCGTTTTCCACACGAAGCATTGAATGAAACAAGAAAATCACTCAAGCTTTGTAAAAGTCAATCTGCATTCAGTCCAGCGGCATCGGTTGCAGCTGGAGCCAACATGTCTGCACGGTCATCTGATTCTAAAAGACACGGCAGGAACAGGTTTATGGGAATTTGATCAAGTTTAGCACAATGCTTAGTTTTTAACACATTTAACTTTGAAGGGAGAGGTCAAGACTTCTGTGGTCTGAGTATCTTAGACTTTAAACAAATATAGAATAGGATGAGCTGGTGGTCTCATGATGGTTGTCAGGTTACTATGATGAGACAGTGGTGAGGCGTGCGGTACGAGTAACACATGGATTCAAGGTGGAGATGAGATTACATCAGACATCAGCTTCTTTTTTTACAGGTGATAAACAGGTTGACAGATGAGGTCGGGTAATTTAAACTGTGATGTTTGCAGATGACAACCACTAATGAGAGTAGGGAGCAGGTGGAAGAGAGCCTGGGGAGGTGGAGGTTTTCTCTGCATAGAATAGGAGTGAAAGTCAGAAGAAGTGAAGTGAGACAGAATTCATGAATGTGAAAGAGAGGGAGACAGGTGGAACAACTGAAGCTGCAAGAAGTGGACGAGTTTAAGTTCCCGGGTCGATGATCCAAACTACGGAGAGACAAATGTCCGGGTGATTTGTTGTAGAAGGATAGTCGTGACTGTGAAGGAACGTTTACAAGAAGGTAGGGAGGCAAGGATGAGAAGGTTTGGATATACTGGACAAAGCTTGCTAAATGTGGGACTGATGAAGAGGAGAAGAAGAGGAGGAGGATGCTGGAATCGGGTGAGAGGCAGAAGATCCACCGTGGACATCACTAACAAAAGCAGCTGCAAAATAAAAATATCATGCAAAAAGATTAAAAATATTATTAAATAAAAAGGACAATTTGAGGAAACTGTCACATGCAGCCTAAAGAAACTTAAATAAAAAATGGAGTGTAAACTAAAAAGGCTAAATGTTTGTTACCTATAAAACTGAACCAGCAGCTAAAGGCACCTGGTTTGGGCTCCGACCTCATAAATCAGAGCTGGGTCTCACCGCAGCATAACTTTCATCACGCGCTCCTTTTCTTTACGTTCAGATGCTTTAGTCCTGGAGATATTTCATGCAGCCTGTCTTCCACAGCAGAGTTTCCTGTAAGTGGGTCAGTTTCCTCTCTGGCAGCATCCTTGGACCAACAACAGTTTCAGTCGTTGGACCAGTTCCACTCCGAACCTTCTGTCCTCTCCAGCATTATATAATGTCCACCAGCCCAGAATAACTCGCCTTCATCCGTGCTCAGCCGCAAACAAAAGAATATTGGTCACACGGGGCGACAATGATTATCTGATAATCGTTTATAACAAGTAAGATTATGTAAATATATGTTTGTTGTTTTATTTACAAATAAAATATTGCACTGAGCATAAATCCAGTTTAACAGAAAACTAGAAAAGTGTCTGTCAGCAAACAACTTTTAACGGACTCGTCCTAAAGATTTTACTGGTACATGTTTTATGATGTTTAACGGTTAACTGTTGAACCGTTCAGAAATCTGATGCGTTGAGGTTTCATCAAAATTATTTCTTTTAATTTGCTTTGATTTAAACAGCCCACAGGGTGCAATACACTGTAACACCAAGATTAAACCAAAATAAGACAGAAAATTCACAACTAATTAAAGTAAACTGGATTAAATTATTAACCTTCATTTAACCAACTGCTCCCCAGGCACCCCCAAAGGTCACCGCCCCACCTGGTGGTGGATGCGTTAAACGCAGAGAGCCAAGTTCGCTGTTGCACGGGAACCTACAAAGACACATTATTATTAATAGAACATGTTTTTGGTCTGAGGATCCATCAGCTGTAGAACATGCAACATGAGAAGGAATGAACTTCACTGATCTTCATCGTTAAAACTGTTTTCCCACATCCATCCAGGTGATGTAGAGATCGGTCTCATGGAGAGGAATGGGGGTCTGGAGGTGGAGGTGGTCCAGGCCAGAGGACTCACCATGAAACCAGGTTCCAAGGGACCTCCAGGTGAGCTCACACATCAGTGCTGGGATGAGAAATGACAATCATGAGTTGAATGTCCATCCATCCATCCATCCATCCATTATCTTTACCCACTTATTCCATTTTGGGTCACGGGGGTCGCTGGTGCCCATGTCCAGCAATCACTGTGCGAGGGGCGGGGGACACCATGGACAGGTCTCCAGTCCATCACAGGGACACATAGAGACAAATGAGACAAACAACCATTCACTCTCTCACTCACACCTAAGGACAATTTAGAGTTACCAATCAGCCTAACATGCATGTTTTTGGACTGTGGGAGGAAACCGGAGTACTCGGAGAAAACCCACGCAGCACGGAGAGAACATGCAAACTCCACCCAGAAAGGCCCCTGGACCGGGGTTTGAACCAGGGACCTGCTCGCTGAGAGGCAGCAGCTCTACCAGTTGCACCACCGTGCTGCCCTGAGTTGAATGTGTTTTCATAAAGTAAAAATCTACCATTGAAGAATCTATAATCATTAATGATCCGCCTGGAAGACGAGGACAGTTGTGGAAGCAGATAAACTATAAAAGAGAAAACCGCAGCAGCCTGGAGCGAGCGCCCAAAGGGCCAAACTTTCTTCCACAGATTGTTGGGAGTTGGCACAAAGAAGAAAAGGAAGTGAGGAAGTAAAACACGTAAAGTGGCGTGAGCCACACGGGCTTTTGTTTCTCCACCCACGAGATCAAAGTTCCTGTCCGCTCATTAGAGTCTGCTGCGTATTCGTTTGTCTCAAACCACGGTGTCGTTTCTTATCGTTTCCTTTGAGGCAACGGAGCATCGTTCATCGTTCAAACAGTTTATGAACAACTCCTTTAAAACCAGTCAAGTGCAACTTAAAGTGGATGAAAGAAAAAAATGGGAATGACAACAGATGTTCTGAAACAAACTATAAATCTTTTATAAACAACTAAAGAAAACCTCCCTGCTTCATTTTTTCATGTGTACAATCCTAATCTACAATCTCTAATCCCACATGCTGCATGAAACAGGCGTGTTTGGATCAGTGGGTAATGACAGCACTGGACTCCAGGTTACAAACGTGACAGACAGATGTTCAGCAGGGCTGTTGTGCAGATGTGAGGCGTGAACGCTGAGAAGAAACATTTCCAGATGATTCGTCTGAAACGATCAGTAAATCTGTTGATCTTGCAGCTTGAAGAGGATTTTACAAATATCCCAGAGTTCAAGTTGTTCTGGGAGAATAAAAGTCAAACAGCTGGAACAGGGTCAAAGAGCTACGTATAGTTCAGCGCTGATGACGACAGGCTGCGGCCTATTCTAAAATCAAAGTCAATCACATCTATTGATCCATCTCTCCAACTACGGTTTGTAGCATTTTGCATTAATAAACATTTTCATAAATATTCCACATTCTCCGTTTCATTCCACCTCAGATAAATGGAGAGTCAAAACGCAGAATAGAAATGATGGCACAGGAAACACGTGATTATTTTTATCAGGATGTGCCATGAAGGTGAGGGCAGGGAGGACAGAGGCTGTGGACAGGAGACAGAAGAGGACAGAGGCTGTGG